CACTAAACATTGGGTTTTGAGAATGTTTTGTTACAATCATTTCTAAACCAATACTATATCTTGTAGCAAAATAAAAGAAGAGAGGGAGGGAAGAAGGATGCAAGAGAGAGGTAAGGAGGAAAGAATGGAGGAAGAGAGTGAGGGGGAAGGGAGGGAGGGAAGGAAGGGAGCTAAAGGAGGGAGGGAAGGATGGAATGAGGGAGGCATGAAGGAAAGGAAAAGGGAAAGAAAGGAAAGGAAAGGATCTAATGTGTTTAGGATTTAATAGTAAGTCTCTGTTGAACTTTAAGCAAATCTTTTTTTGTACTAGTTCATTTATTCATAAAAACAGTAAGTCCTTTATAGTCATCTTAAATCACAAGAAAAAAAATCCTGCAAAGGCCACCATGAACTGCACTGACAGTTCTTTTCTTCCAAAATTGTGCTTCCTGTCTGACCTCTATAACAATATAGTGTTTTTATTGTTATAGGGGATTGTGGAGCTGAGGATAGTGAAGTTTTGGCTGTTCATTTTTTTTTTTGCACATGAATTACCACGTTTTAATGAAACAATTATCTTCTTTATTTTCTCTTTTTAAATTATGATTGTAACACCTCTGTTTCTCTATCTCTGGGTAAAAAAGAAAATGAAAAAATTCACTAATAATCCAGATGTTTTCAATCGTCTTATGGATGAGTTACTGTGAAGATAAAGCATCTGGGTGAATGATAATTTGGCTTTTATACAGATTTAGAAACAAATAGAGACAACTCTCCTCTCTAAACTTGACAAGACCAATTTCCTTCACGAGAAAATTAAATATTTACATTATTATATTCCAAAGCAAGAGCTTCATGCTTCAGTGGTACTGAACAGCAACAATTTAATAAAATATTCATATGAGGGGTGGAGGGTGCTAATCTGTTCTTGTATTTTCCACAGACTAGCTTTCCATTTAGAATATTAGGTTTTATTTGAATAAGATATCAAAGAATGCCTATATTAATGAAATAAAAAAGGATATTAGTCACTAGAATCTGTTGGTACTAATACAAATTGCATGAGAGTAACAATAATAATGTGTGATGGTTAATTTTAGGTGTTAACTTGACTGCATTAAGAAATACCTAGCAATCTAGAAAAGTATTATTTTTTATTGTGTTTGGGAAGATGTTCCCAGAAGAGACTAATATATGAGTCTGAGGGCACAAGATGAGATCTTTCCTCATTGCGGGACGGCACTATCCAGTCAGCCAGGACCAGAAAAAACAAGAACAGAGGAAAGAAGTATCCATCTGCTGAAGTTGGAATACACTCTTCTTCTATTCCTGGACAACTACTCCAGGCTCCCCCTATTTTGGAGTCCAGGACTTACACAAGTGGCCCCTGAGTTCTCAAGATTTTGGTCTTGAACTAAGAGTGACACCATTCATTAACTTCCCTGATTCTGAGGCTTTTGGACTTGGACTGAGCCACACTACCAGAACTCCAGGGTCTCCAGCTTGTACATGGCCTGTTACAGGACTTCTTAGCCTCCATAATCAAGCCAGCCAATCTATCTAGCAAGTCTCATCTTCTAAATCTGTATCTCTATCTATGAATTCTGTCTCTCTGGAGAATCCTGATTAATAAAACATGGTCATATAAATGAATTGACTTCAGAGTCCCTTCTTACAACTCAAGTCAAAGGAACTAATTTTTATCCACACATTATAGTTACTTAACATATCCCTTACTCATTTCAAATTACATATCTCAGTTTCTAAGCAGCTCATTTGTACACAAATATCAATGTAATCAGAGAGCAAACTTTCATGAATTATCCATATACATATGAAATCACACATATATGAATTTATATAAGGTTCATAGAAGTGTACAAGTATGTAAAAAATACCGGCTTCTAAGTCAATAACAAGAAAAGGGTACCCTGTAGAAAATTTGAAATTTGAAATAAAGGAAAGAATTCTTTGGTTAAAGCTAACCTTCTCTTAAACATTAACATGTGTTTACTAGCACGCTTCTTGGAGAAATGCACTACCACCTATTTGAAATACAAAACTAGGAAACTCATGAATGCACTAGAAATATCAGATGTTTTGTTAAGAGTTCATAATAACTCATAACATACTTGCCCTTTCCCTTGGAATCAAACATCAATTTGATAGCACTTTAAGGAAGAATGGTTGAAAATGTTGAACTTCGTGTGTGTGTGTGTGTATGTGTGTGTGTGTGTGTTTTTTGAGCTGGAGTCTCACTCTGTCGCCCAGGCTGGAGTGCAGTGGTGCGATCTCAGCTCACTGCAACCTCTACATCCAGGGTTCAAGCAATTCTCCTGACTCAGCCTCCTGAGTAGCTAGGATTACAGGCACACACCACCACGCCTGGCTAATTTTTGTATTTTTAGCAGAGATGGGGTTTTACCATGTTGGTCAGACTGGTCTTGAACTCCTGACCTCGTGACCCACCCTCCTCGACCTCCCAAAGTGCTGGGATTACAGGCATGAGCCACCATGCCCAGCCCTTCAGTATCATTTTGTAACTACTTATCACCACATACAACTTTAAAAATGATAAATTGATTTTGATGCAAATGAGTAGAGATCCTGACTACATTGCTGTTAGTAGTTGACCTTTGATTCACCTATATTGAAATTATTTTACAAAGCACAAAATGATCTAGCGATCTAGCTAGTAGCTATCTATCTACCCATCCAAATGTATTTGTGTAGTTTAGCAGGACAGAATACCAAATGCTGGAAAATCAAATGGGATGAGGACAATGGAAATTGAAAAAAATCAGTCATTTAATTAGTAAAATCCACATGTTTTCTATGGCAATTAACAGTCACTCCAACCTGATTACAGTGACAGCACACTGACACAATGTGGCTATTAATTCCCTTGGAATAATACATTTAAAAAAATTGCAAATTCTCGTGAAACTCACCATCACCAAGGACCTCATATGCTTGTCACAGGCTTTGGTGAGCTTTTCTCCAAGCCTAAATACACTAACTACATATATCCACATATGCTATTATGTATTAAGAAAAAGTAAAGGAATTTTATAATTGTATTTATGAATGTGCTGGTTTTCTTCAGTGAGTTTCGGCACAGTCACCTTTAAGAAGGAAACACAGAACTCCTCTGCAAGCGTTTGTGTCAGGTCACATTTATATGGGAAATAATTCCTCCATTTTGACCAGATAAAGGAAATTATCTTAAAGGTGACAAAACATTTTCCAGTTCATGACCAAGAAAGTAACTGTTAAAACTTTCCTGGCTAATGGGAATACTTAAATACTGTAAATATTATTCTTGCAGAAGCAATAATTCTCCACTTATTTTTATGTATTTCTACACATAGCATTGTAGCATTTTCTCAACAGTCTTATATTTGGTATTTTCTAAATGGTTACAAAACTGAGTCTAAGTAAGTAGTACCGAATTTGCCCTTAGTAAATAAAACTGGAGGGAACAGAAACCTTCTGATTTTCATCTTAGGGAAAATGTAAGGAAAGCGTCTTCTGCTCTGAGCATTCATTTTATATTTCATATTTCAAAGGAGAAAACATTTTTTTTTTGAGACTGAATTTTGCTCTGTTGCCTAGGCAGGAGCGCAATGACAGGACCTCAGATCACTGAAACCTCTGCCTCTCGGGTTCAAGTGATTCTCCTGCCTCAGCTTCCCGAGTAGCTGGGATTATGGGCATGCGCCACCATGCCCAGGTAGGTTTTTGTATCATAAGTAGAGATGGGTTTCACCATGTTGGCCAGACTGGTCTCAAACTCCTGACCTCTAGTGATCTGCCTGCCTTGGCCTCCCAAAGTGCAGGAATTATAGGCGTGAGCCACCATGCTGAGCCAAAAAACACACTGTTAAAGAACAATATTCAAGGACATCATATAAAAAGTGTAATTTCTCAGAATCAAAAATTTCAGAAATATCAAACACTGAATTTGAGGTTTAGTCTCAGTTAATCTTTTACGTGAAAATCATTTTTATAATCGGAACTAATTTTTTGTGAAGTAATCTGATTCACTTTTAACCCAAATTGGATATTCTGCCCCAGAAGCACAGAAGGTGAGAATACTGAAAACATTTATTTAAAAATGTTGATCTAATTCATTGAGCTAACTGGGACTGAACCAAAATATGTGTATATGAAGGTTGTAGGACTGCCAAGGCTCATAGTTGCTTTCAGTGGGTCAAACTGTTTAAAATCTCTATACTTGGTGAGGAGATAAATGGCTTCTAGACAATGTACCCACTCTCATGTATATAGCCATCCCTCTAAAGAAGAAGCAGCGTTTTTGTTGTGGTAGTTGTCTGCTTATTCCAAAGTTTACAGTCGATCCATTTAATATGAAAATTTGTTTCCCAAGAACACTTAGTGGGAGGACTACAGAGAATAAACAAAATAAATTAAATGAATAAATTACATATGTAATGATGATTGTTTTGAAGAAAAATAAATTTCTCTGCCTTGAATGCTAGGTAGGATATATTAGATTTTACAGAATATAGAAGGTGGCCAGAGAGTCGTATGAGAGGAACAAGGCTTCATAAAGGGACGTTGGGAAGAGTGTACAGGGTGTATAAAAAAGCAGAGAGAACAGAGATGAGTGATTAGGATACTTTAAATCAGGGCAGACGATAAGCAGTTGCCACAGTTCAAAGGCAATGGGAATACTGAAGGCGGGATAAACCCAAAATGTACTTTAAAGGAAAATATGAGGCTTAGTAACTTACCAGATATAGGAAACAAAAAAGAGAAGACAAAGAGGTCTTTAGTGCTTTATACCTAGGGACCAAGACAATGGTGGCATCATCGTCACTTATGAAGACATTATTAATAACACAACAATAAAAAAATTGCTTATTTTTACTGAAACCTGAACCACTCGAATCCTGAGTTTGTGCCTGATCTGGTCATAGCTCAAAAGTTTCCTCCAATCCCTGCAGTCTTTTAGGACGTTTATTTAATACTTACATACATGCTAGGAAAATGCTCACCAGTTTGCCACCAATGGTCTAAGACGGGTACTCTGAAGACACTTTTGGACCATTCCAGGGTATCTATATCACATCGTTCTCCAGCCACAAATAATGTTTTGAACCTGAATATGAGACAGTGATATCAAATTATTCCTGGAAAATAAATCTAACTAATCTCATTTATATTTTTAAAACACTGTTGAATATAACCACACTCATTACATCATGATGGAATACAGCCATATAATCAATATATCAGACTGTATAATGATGAGAGGCATTTCTTGTTTGGGCCCAGATGTAACCAAATACACATCACAGAATTGAAATGAGATACTTCAAAAGTAGAATTCACGGCCACCGCTTTTCAGCTTTTAAAAGAGCAATCGAGCTGATCTCTTTAATAGATCTGTCATGTTCATGTAATGATCAAAGATAAAATCTCTTTCACCTTGACATTATCCCTGCTAATTTTGTCTCCAAATTTGATTGCTATATTCTAAGTAAGGATATACACAAAATATACATACATAAGTATCGGCTAAGGCAATATTTATATGAATTTGTTCCTTCTTGTGAATTCCTCTGATAAAGCTTACTCTGATTTCAAGTACATATTTTTCCTATTCCAAGGACCTTTACAGGACAGACAGCTGATAAAGAAGTAAATGCCATTGTGGCCTTGGAAGTCAAAAGGTTCTTCAATCAAAAGGAATCCAAGGTTACTAACAGATGCAGGAGAATAAGCATCTTTTGCAGAAAGTACCATACCACAGAATGGAAAAAATGAAATAGAAAAATAGAATTATGTTGACCCCATTAGTGGTTCATTGAGAGCATGGATTTTTTCCATTTTCAAATGCTTTCATGGCTTGTTTATTAAAAAAAAAAAAAGTCTCTGTGTGTGTGTGTGTGTGTGTGTGTGTATGAAGAGTTACTTCATTTATCATCAAAGTAAGACACAGTTGACAAAAACCTGCCCACTCATCCTAAACAACGTAATATATTTTACCATATCATTAATTTTTCATATCATTTCATAAAGATTCATGAAAATTCAAATATGTCCACCCCAATGTTCCAATAACGTTGTTTCTGTCTTTGCTATAAACATGTATCTCATTCTAGAATTCTTTCGTTTTTGTATATTTCCTACATTGAACTATGAGTGCCTTAGGAACATACATCTTTATAACCCCAAGACCAATCAAAGTACATAAAATTTTTAGGTATTTAAACACTTCTAGATGCTTAGCATGCTAAAGCACAGGGGTGGGGGGTGGCAAAATTAACACCAGTTTGTAGTTTGATTTATTTTTCTAAGTAAAAGAGGAGGTATGTTGGTTTCTAAGAGTGTGGAATTTGAGAGGGAACAGTTAACCTGAGGAGAACAAAATTCTGGAGTAAGTATTCTAGGATATTTTTGGAGCACAACGTAAATGTGAAAAGACTTGAGAACAGCTAGTTGGTTTTTATGGACTCAATCAGTGGCCTGGGAGGCTAAGCAGGAATAGCACAGATTGGGGTGTGATACAAGGGATGGGAAATCAATGCTGGAAAGGCCATCTGGACACTCCCAAGTAGGCAGGAATTATGGGAAGGTAAGGCAAGAACAACCAGAATAGAATAAAAATACAATAGTGTGGTAAAAGACTAGAAGTCACATACGAAGGCAAGGCAGGAATAACCAGCATAAAAGAAATATACAATAGTGAGGTAAAAGACTAGAAGTCACATAAGAAAAAGTTTGATGAAAATGAAGGCAAGGTGAGAAAAAAATGGGTGTCATTGTAGAGAAGGCAATCTCAAACTTAGAGATCTTGAAAACGTGTCTGTTCTGAAGGATGATAGATTTTATGTTAGCTAAAAGGATCTAACAGTGAACGACACAGAGGGAAACGAGTATTTTTATAGAAGGATTCTTTTCAAAATAGTATTAAAAATCACTCAAGGACCATAGCAGTGGAGAGTAAAGATAATGTCTGTGACTTGATTAAAGTGGCTGAATGGAGGTCTGAAGAGTGGGGAGAGGGTATCTCAAAGAGATAGCATGAATGTCAACAGAAGCTGGGCCACCAAATAAACAAACGTTTTAAGTTCTCACATCACCAATTTTACTTTGACATCTTCCCTAACTTTTACAGATAATCTTGGCCCTGAAGATACATTTGACCTCAATAGTGAGAAAAAAGTGACAGTTTCATTATCCTACAAAAAATCAGGGTTGTAAACAGCTATTGAAAACATAAAATAATTAATTTGAATATAAATGAATCACTGATAAATAATGTCTATATGAGAAGTGCAACCACCTGGAATTATTCATGGTAATTTTCGTCTATAGAAGAGGCTATCTATACCCTTATATGTATAAGGGTGTCAAAAGAGGCTTTAGTTAAATTGTGGTTAAACATTCAATGTGCTATTACTATTCCACATTCGTTTTCTGAGAGAAAAAAAAATCATCATCTGCAAATGTAAAGATATTCAGAGAATAAAATTATCTTATTACATTTTATTTTTTGCAGTAATGTAGTTAGAGCCATGATGATTAACTAAATTGGGGACATAGCTTGGATATTAGTTCCCTCCAAATCTCATGTTGAAATGTGACCCCCAATGTTGAAGTTGGGGCCTAGTGGGGAGGCTTGGTGCCTTCCCCATGGTAAAAAGTGAGTTCTCACTCACTTTACTTGTTCATATGAGAGCTGGTTTAAAGAGCCAGGCACCTCCTCTCCTCCTCCTTGCTTCCTCTCTCGCTATGATAGATGCCTGCTCTTCCTGAGCCTTCCATCATGATTCTAAGCCTTCTGAGGACTCACGAGAACCAGATCTGGTACTGTGCTTCTTGTACAGTCTGCAGACCCCTGAGACAAAATACATCTCTTTTCTTTATAAATTAACCAGCCTCAGGTATTCCTTTACAGCAAAGCAAAATGAGCTAATGCAATTGGTATGGTCCAACGGACATATAATGTGAGCTACAAATCCAATAAATATATGTAGTTTAAAATTTTCTAGGAGCCACATTCAGAGAAATAAGAAGAATAAAGTCAAATTGGCTCTAATATTTTATTAAATTACATATATCCAAAATGTTACTATTTCAATATGCAATGAATATAAAAATTACTGGTAAGATATCTTCCAGTCTTTTGTTAATACCAAATCTCAAATTGGACTTGCCACATTTCAATAGTTCAATAGCCACGAGGCCAGAGGCTACCTATAGGACAGTACAGAGGTAGACTATGACTTTCTGAAGAAGCAACAGAACTTTTACACTGGTCTGTTTACAACCACCTTAAACTTCATATGGAACCAAAAGAGAGCCCACATAGCCAAGACAATCCTAAGCAAAAAGAACAAAGCTGGAGGCACCACGCTACCTGACTTCAAACTATACTAGAAGGCTACAGTAATCAAAACAGCATGGTACTGGTACCAAAACAGAGATATAGACCAATGGAACAGAACAGAGGCCTCGGAGGCAACACCACACACCTACAACCATCTGATCTTTGACAAAGCTGGCAAAAACCAGCAATGGGGAAAGGATTCCCTGTTTAATAAATGGCGTTGGGAAAACTGGCTAGCTACGTGCAGAAAGCAGAAACTGGACCCCTTCCTGATACATTACACTAAAATTTACTCCAAATGGAATAAAGATTTAAACATAAGACCTAACACCAGAAAAACCCTAAAAGAAAACCTAGGCAAAACCATTCTGGACATAGACATAGGCAAGGACTTCCTGACTAAAACACCAAAAGCAATGGCAACAAAAGCCAAAATAGACAAATGGGATCTAATTAAACTCCAGAGCTTCTGTACAGCAAAAGAAACAATATTAGAGTGAACCAGCAACCAACATAATGGGAAAAAAAAATGTTTGCAATCTACCCATCTGACAAAGGGCTAATAACCAGAATCTACAAAGAACTAAAACAGATTTACAAGAAAAAACAAACTAATTCAAAAGTGTGCAAAGGAGGTGAACAGACACTTTTCAAAAGAAAACATATGTGAGGCCAAAAAACATATGAAAAAATGCTCATCATCACTGGTCATTAGAGAAATGCAAATCAAAACCACATTGAGATACCATCTCTCACCAGCTAGAATGGCAATCATTAAAAAATCTGGAGACAATAGATGCTGGAGAGAATGTGGAGAAATAGAAACACTTTTACACTGTTGGTGGGAGTGTAAATTAGTTCAAACATTGTGGAAGACAGTGTGGCAATTCCTCAAGGATCTAGAAATAGAAATTCCATTTGACCTAGCAATCCCATTACTGGGTATATATCCAAAGGATTATGAATCATTGTATTATAAAGACACATGCACATATATGTTCACTCTGGCACTGTTTACAATAGCAAAGACCTGGAACCAACCCAAATGTCCATCGATGATAGACTGGACAAGGAAAATGTAGCACATATACATCATGGAATTCTATGCAGCCATAAAAAATGATGAGTTCATGTCCTTTATAGGGGCATGGATGAATCTGGAAACCATCATTCTTAGCAAACTGACACAAGAACAGAAAATCAAACACCACTTGTTCTCACTCATAGGCAGGTGGTGAACAATGAGAACACATGGACACAGGGAGGGGAGCATCACACACTGGGGTCTGTTCGGGGGTGGCTAGGGGAGGGACAGTAGGGAGTGGGGAGGTTGGGGAGAGATAATATGGGGAGAAATGCCAGATATAGGTGATGGGGGGTATGGAGGCAGCAAACCACCTTGCCATATATGTACCTATGCAACAATCCTGTGTGATCTGCACATGTACCCCAGAACCTATAGCACAATTAAAAAAGAACATGATGTACAACATTGTCAATTAAAACATTAAAATACAGAATTTGTAGCAAAGCAAGGAACAGCTGATATCTTCATATTACCAGCATTTTTGAAAGTTGTAACTTTTTTTTTTTTTTTTTTGGCTATCCCTCATCCCCTGCCACATAAACTATAATTAATCTGAGTAATTGATTATAATAATACACCATGCATTAGCACTGAACTCTAATTTGATGGCAAATGTCACCATTATATATTTTTTAACTTAGTATTTATTATGTTTTAGCAGTATATTCCTATTGCT